GTGTGTGTGTGTGTGTGTGTGTGTGTGTTCTCTCTTGGACCTCAAGAACCCCAGAGTGATCTGCCCTTCAGTTTGAAAGACACTGCCTTATCATGAGCCCCATGAGATCATGGGGAGGATTGGACCCATTTACCAGATGAGGTTACAAGGGCTCCAGATGCGGGATTCATGGCAGGGCTGTGCTGGAGACAGGGCTTCTTCCTGGCACAACGCTGATCCAGCCCCATTCCTCCATCCTGGAGTCATGTTCCCTGGGGCCAGGCTTCAGTGCCTCCCTTGCTTCTTCCCATCCAGGCTGTGCTCTGAACGACTCGCCCGTGGGCCTGGCTGCCTACATCTTAGAAAAGTTCTCCACCTGGACCAACCAGGAATACCGTGAACTGGAGGATGGAGGCCTGGAGAGGTGAGGCCCCTCAACCCCTGCCCTGCTGCAAGGACCTGGTCCCCAGGCTCTGCCTTTCCCTGCCTACCATTCATCCCTGATCAAGACCCTCTATAGAGGGCCAGCAAGCTCCTCTGTCTTTGGTGTCCTACACATCCTGCCACCCCACCTGTGACCGGGGGACCCTGTGTGGAGGATGGAGAGGTAGAGGCACCCACAGGACAAATGTCTTGTTCAACAGGTTAGTGTCACAGAGAATTCAGAGCTCAGTAGTTCCCCCTACAGCCAAGGAGTCTCCAGGACAATGAGCAACCTTTATTGCAGAATGACAAAGCCTCTCAGCCAGAGCCTCTACAGACTAGACTGTAGGTTAGATTCTGTGGGGGCCAATCAAAAGAGAGCTGTGGGAAAGACTGGGGAGCCAGCCCATCTCCAGAGTTCTGGAAGACGCACCATGCACAGGGATAAAGTCTTGTTCCTAAGCCTGGTGCAGGATTTTCTCTGACCCACAGTCCCCAGGGTCTATCTATGCCTTTCTTTCCCTGTGCAGTGACCAATCCCAGAGCTGTGGGCCGGACTCCCCTGCAATTTCTACCACCTCCTAAATGCTATCCAATTTGAAAGACATCTATAAAGTTGTCTATTCATGAGGTCAGAGCCCTCGGGATCACTTCCCCAAAGCCCGACCTCAGGTCGGTTTCCGAGCCCTTTGTGGGGCACCTCGTATCCAAATCATCACATTGATTGACATGCTGTCAAAGGAAGGGACCCATGTTTTCTACTGCGCTTGACTTTGATGTCCCTACATGTCTTCCAAGTGTCCTCATTCTATTTTTACCAGAGGGCAAAATACTGAGACACAGGCATGGCAAACCATCGCCCGAGTCCCAGGGCTCTTTAGCATTATGGCTGAGACCAGCATCGCAGTCCCTTGAGTCTTGGATCCTGGCCTCTAGCCAGCTTGCGTGCGGGCTCCTGAGGAATACCCCGGAGACCAGCCTCTTCCTGCTGCCAGGAGTTTCAAATCCCTTAGGGCTCCTAAGAGAGGAGAATTCATTACTCTGAGAAACTGGGGGTGGGAGCATGGTCACTGGAGGTAGGTAGTACTAGCAGAGACCTGGAAAGCCCAGGAGGAAGTCGGAGCTAAGAGCTGTGGTGTGCACCTCTGGGCTCAGAGCACCTGGGTGCTGCCTGGTGGGGAGACGGGGGTGGTGTTACCATGGAGACAGGTGGCAGAGATGAACTCATGAATGAAAGCGGCGGCGGGGGCACTTAGCACTTGCTGCCGGCCATGGTCGGCACTCTACATCAGCTATCCATCTAGAGACAGGCCCTTGACCCACGAATGGCTGACTGATTCCTGAGTCTGTGGGAGAAAATGACACCAGTCGTTTGAGGAAGGCCAGATAGGTAGGGGCCTTTGCACCGAGCCTGGACATCCTGTGCTCTTTCCCAGGAAGTACTCCCTGGAAGATCTGCTGACCAACATCATGATCTACTGGACAACAGGAACCATTGTCTCCTCGCAGCGCTTCTACAAGGAGAACATGGGCCAGGGCATCAAGGTCCATAGGCATGAGAGGTAAGCCGGGCTGAGCAGGGAGAGGGGCCTCTGGGGCTGGGGCTCGGGCTGGGAACCACTTGGCCTTTAATCCAAAGAAGGTGTGATGGCAAGTTAAGAAAGACATCAGATGTTCTCGGGATCCTGGTCTGCTGGGACAGAGGCACTGGGATCTGCAAGGTCCACATGGAGACCCTCAGGTGACATCAAGACTGGCAAAGTGGGCACTTAGAGGCTCACGTGACCTGTCACATGGTCCTCCCAGGCAGAGAGGGTCCTTAGTGAGTGAAAAGTAGGGACTACAATGGAAGGGTAGTGTAACCCCTTGTCACTAGGGCTCCATATGACCTCGCTGAGTCCTCCCCAGGCCATAGCAGTCTCCTCTGGAAACAGAAGAACACAGCGCCTCAGCCTCATCCCCCCCCTCCTCTTCCTCACAGGATGAAGGTCTTCGTGCCCACCGGCTATTCCGCTTTCCCTTCCGAGATAATGCATGCTCCAGAAAAATGGGTGAAGGTCAAGTACCCCAAGCTCATCTCCTATTCCTACATGGAGCGTGGGGGCCACTTTGCCGCCTTTGAAGAGCCCAAGCTTCTGGCCCAGGACATCCGCAAGTTCGTGTCCCTGGCAGAGAGGCAGTGATGCCCTCAGGGAGCAATCTACAGCCTCAGCAGCAGCCCTGGCGTCTCCCCAGTCTCTCTTAAGAGAGATGCCCTCTTTCTAAAGGAAGTTTCTGTGCCCTGCAGGCTCTGGAGCCTGGGTACCTCCTCCACCTCTCCCACCCTCATGTTAGGTTACAGACCTTAAAACACACAGCCACGGGGCTGGAGAGATGGCTCAGAGGATAAGAGCACTGGCTGCTCTTCCAGAGGTCCTGAGTTCAATTCCCAGCAACCACATGGTGGTTCACAACCATCCATAAGGAGATCTTGTGCCCTCTTCTGACCTGCAGGTGTATATGCAGACAGAACACTGTATACATAATAAATAAATAAATCTTTTAAAAAAAAATGGCCACTTTAAGAACCAGGTACCCCGGCTCTGGAAAGATCTAGCCATGCTTTCCTGCAGAGGAGGGAGTAGTCCGGGGCGGAGAACTAACAACCGAGTTGTCCTCAAAGCCTCTTCCTCCACCTTGCAGCTGTGGTCGAGTATAGACCTATAATCCCCTGTTGCCAAGACCCAAGGCAACTCTGAATTATGATTTCACTCTTACCTAGTGCCTTCTTGCCCCCCCGCCCCCCACTCCTAGCACGTAAGCTAGATCTCCTGGCATGAGACCTCCCCGACTTGCGAAGAACCCCCTTTTGCCCCACATCCTCAGAGGCTCTCTGGCTGGCTCCTTCCCTTTAAGACCCTCTTGTAGGTCATAGCATGCCTAATAAAGTTTTTCTGGAGCAAAATTCACCTCAGCACCTGTCTGTGACACCTATGCATCTTTCCTGATGTGCTATATACCTGTGTTAAGCATGGTAGCCTTGGTGACAAATGATTTGCTTCTAAGCACAGCTGGACCAAATGGCATCCTCTACTCCAAAGCAACCCACACAGGGCTCTCCTCCCAGAGGTGAGCTCACACCTCTACCCTTGTGCTTGGTGCCTACTGGGCCCTGTGAATCAGTCCAGACTGGCAAAGGCAAAGGCAGGGAAGGCAGCTGGAAATAGTCACTGGCCAGTGCCACCCTCGACCAAGCACCCCCCAGAGTAGTACTGGCACCATCCAGACACTCACAAAGCTCAAGCCCAGGGAGAAAAGGCAGTGTGGCTGACTGGCTAGCTCACGTGAAAAGGCCCTGATAGTCAAGGGCCACCAGACCCGAAAAAGAGGGACGGCAGATCCTGCCTGGTCCCTGTGGTAAGGGACCCTGTCTGTGGTAAGGAATTGAGGCAGGCAGGCCCAAGTGGTTAGCTTCTGATTTACCACAGCTCTGCCCTGGCCCACACCTTCACTCAACCTTGGACTGCCAAGCCCCACATCCCCAGATGTGTCCTGCCACACCCCTTCTGTTCCCTGTGGGCATCCGGCCTCACCCTGCCCCCTGTGGCCCAACCCCAGATCCCACTCTGGAAGAAGAAAGAGCTACCAAAGACAGAAGAAATGGGGGGGACACCCTCTTCTCTCTGTGCCTGCCCCTCTGTCCTCCCATAATTCCAGGGTACCCTTGACGATGCCCCTCCCTTCTTGGACAGAGCAGACACAACAGGTAGAAGCTAGATGAAGCCTCCGTGGACATGAACAGCCACACATTAACCCGGAAGACGCATGAGAGGTGGGATCTTACCCCCAGCCCAACAGGTACTTTATTAATGGTTCTCGGTGTCCCTGCCTACTGCGGGGTGACCCCAGTCACGGAATCTTGGGCAACATGATACAAAACCCCAGAGGCCCAGCAGGTGCAGAGGTGGCTATCTAGCCAGTGGGCAGGAGCCTGCTGCCTTGCCGCTGTAGGCAAGGACAAGATACTTCCTTGTCCCTACAGCTGTCCACTGGTCCCTGGAAGGGGCTGAGGAAGCATTAGGACCCCACATGGGCTCCATCTCAGGCTTGCTGGTCATTGCAGAAGGCTAAACAGTGTCCAGGGCTTTCCTGGGCACAACTCCGCATCAACCCATAGTCTCCAACTCCAATCAGCCTGAGGGCAAAATTCCAACACATGATCTTGGCTACAAACCACTAGGGGACATCATCCCCCCCCTACAGAGCTGTACCCTCGCTGAGTGGATGGGGGGATAAATGTGCATATCCTCATGTGACCACACGAGGGGGGGCTGCAGGTGCTCCCCACACTAGAACCAGAAAAGCAGCCTACAGAAGGCTCGAAGGGACAGCAGCCCTACCGTATCCCCTCAGCCAAGGGCCCGAGCCCCCGTGACCCACTGGTTCCCTCTTCTCACAAGACAGGAGCTTTAAAACAGGAAAGAACTCAAGAGCCTGCCTGGGTTCCAGTCCCTTCTGTCTCTCGGGCCTCCCGAGTGTCCAGAGCCTGCCAGACCAGCAGCTTGCCCACTCTCAGGATTCCTGGTAGGCACAGGCCACACTGTCGCTGGGATTCTGAGCCACAAGCTGCCCAGGAAGAGTCCCACTGATGTTACGGATGGCGCCATAGGTCTGCTGCTGCTGTGGGGACAGGGCTGTCCTCTCTGAGGCCAAGCCGTTCAGAATCCGAGGCACGTAGGGCTGTTGGCAAATTCAAGAGTTAGATCTTAGATGGTGGCAGGTCTGACGTCCCACGTCCTGGTCATGCCCTGCGCTACCCCTTTCTCTCAACGGGTGGATACATTAGCAAGAAATAGCATTCACATGGAGCGTCTGGATCCCAAATAAGTCAACTGAGCATTTCTCAGCAGCCAGAGCAAAATGGAAAGCAGTTTCCAACCCAGGTCTCATGATCATGTGAAGAAACAAAGTGACTTCCTCTCGTTCTCAGAGGAAACACTCCTTCCTGCTCCTGTACTCTGGGTCACCATCTCAGTTTATTTGGGAACCAGGCTGTCTGTGGAGACATGTGTCTGACAGCTAGGCATCCTCCCAGGCCCAGGCTGGAAATGAGGGATCGCCAGCTTGCTGGCTGGCAGGGCCAAAGGTGTCTCTGGGTAATTATGCTCCTGAATACCGACTTATCAGGAGCTTGTCCAAGGACAGACCTTAAGAGGAGTCTTTTACCCCAGGAAGGTAGCTGCTGGAAAGACTAAGACTGACGAGGCTAGCCAGTGTCCTAGCCTCACAGCCACTAAGATGGCCAGCAGCCACCACCCTACCACCTGGGGCCCAAGGGCCACACTCCACCCTGAGGTAGCACCCTGGAGGGCAGAGGCAGGAAGAAGAAGAAGAAGGGGCTTTTCCAACCTGGCGCCCCCTTCTAGAACAGGTGCCCTATGCATTTGCCAAACTCAAAAAGACGTAAGTCTGCGGTCTCCCGTACCTGTCAGGGGACCTCACACAGACACTTGAATAACCTGACAAAGCTGCATCCAACCACAGGACCTCGGGATACAGCCGCACTAAAGGCCCAACTCTCCAGGGGGCAGGGCTGAGTGAGGGCAAGTGGGCGGGGCACTGTGGTCCAGAGAAAGATGGGAATCTATCCGGCGGAGTAAGCCTCAGTGGCCAAGGCGGCTTCTGGTGTGCAGGTGCAGCATCCTGACTGACTAGGGAGTCCTTTCAACTGACATTGACTCAAAACCAGCCTGCCAACTGACCTGGGCTTTGTGTTCAGCTAGAACTACTCCAGCACGCTCCTGGGGATTCTCTGGCTGGGACCTTACAACCGGAGTGACAAAGGGCAGCTACCGCGTGGAAACGCAGATGCTTACTGTGAATGATGAGGGCACGTGGGCCTCTGCTTCGCTTCCTCTGTCACTTGCTGACTCTTCTGTCTGTGGACAACAGCAGAGACACAGTGAGGGACAGACCCAGTCTCTCTAAGGTCCCCCAAACAAACAGGCTTGTAACCAGCAGAATAATGGAGCCAGCCGGCACCAGGCTCCCAGCTCAGCTCCACTGAGGGAGGGGGACAGGGGCCCGGAAAAGGGGAGGGAAAGCCACATCATCACACCCCCACTTCCAAAGAAAAGCTGCAGGAGGCTGGTGCTGCTGCGGTCACGTGGGGAGGGAGGAAGAAGAGGGAGCCGAGGCCCGGTAGACAGCCGGCTACCTTGTAGTTCCAGGGGCTCAGGTGCTTGAAGCATCCAAAGCAGGTGTAGAGCAGGCAGGCCAGAATGGTGAGCAGCACCACCACGAAGGTGAACAGGGTGGCGGGAGCCTTCAGACCTGGGGACACAGGCGCAGCCTTGAGGCAGGGCACTTCCTATCTTGCTTGCTCTGTTGAGGAAGGGGCCAGGCCTGGTGCTCAAACTGTGGGTGACTTCTCCCTAGCCTCCACAACATCCAGAATGGTGTCCTCAGAGCCAAGAGCACACAGGGTATAGGAGCCACGTGATGGCTGGAATCATCCCTAGTCAGATTTTGGACACCGGGACACCAAGTAAGCGGTCATTGACAGTGAGATTGCTGGGACAGATTCACACCCCCCCAGCCTCTGGAGCCCGGGGCTAGTCAGGATAAGGGCTCTCTGGGGGTGACTGGAGAGTTTCATGTCCTCTGAATCAGTCCCCCCAGAACTGGTACGGGAACTGTCTTCTCCGTGGGGATTTCTAGAGCTCTGTCACACCTAACCTAGCTCAGTAGCCAGGTTGTCAACACCATACCAACCAGCCCTCACCCAGGAGCATCCACACTGGTACTCTGTGAAAGCAGTTAGTGGCCCAGCTGGAGGGTGGGCATGTGGGAAAACGAGGGCCCTGGCACTGGGCACAGCACAGAATGCCCCTTACCCAGGCGAAGGAAGGAGAAAAAGAAAAGCCAGAAGAGGCAGAGGATGGGAGCAGCCAAGGCCTGGTTCACAGCGGCAAAGTGGATCCTCTTCTCCAGCTTGGCCGGGAGGTAAGCGAAGTACAGGTTGTGCCGATCCACCAGATGCTTGAGCAGGATGTAGATGAGGCCTGAAAAGAGGGGCTGTGAGCCAGAGAGCCTGCTGGGCCAAAATCCCAGCACATGGGAGGCAAAGGCAGATGCATCTCTGTGAGTTCGAGACCCGCCTGGTCTACATAGTGAGTTCCAGGACAGCCAGAGCTACATAGTGAGACCCAGTCTCAAGAAATAAATAGCCGGGCGGTGGTGGCGCACGCCTTTAATCCCAGCACTCGGGAGGCAGAGCCAGGCGGGCCAGGCGGATCTCTGTGAGTTCGAGGCCATCCTGGGCTACCAAGTGAGCTCCAGGAAAGGCGCAAAGCTACACAGAGAAACCCTGTCTC